CCGACGCGAAAACGTGGCCAGGTGTCGGCCTGTGCGGGCGTCCGAGCAGTGGGTCACCCGCTGACTCGCAGGAGTAAACTGGTGAACCCCTGCATCCTGCAGGTCAGCACCACTCACCAAGTTCGTCGAGAACGAGGGGAGGTACAGACCAGACAAGGTGCCCGAGGGGGCAGCCGGACACGGGAGGACAGTGGAAAAGTGAGAGAGGACAGGACCCCCAGAGGGATCAGCTTGGGAGACTGCAACCGGCCAACCAAGCGGCGTGAGTGTGGTGCGGTCTCGAAAGAAGGAGCGAGAAGCCCCTGAGTCAAGTGTGAAGGTGAGGGAGGCCGAAGCCGACGCAGTACCTGAGAGCGCAGCCTCACTAGTACCTGAGGGCGCAGACACCCTGGCACCTAGAGCAGTAGTCTCACTAGCACCTAGCGCAGCAGTACCAATGCCCGGGTCTGGCGGGAAACACTGGTAACAGTCACCCTCATCACTAATAGTCACAGCATACATGGCAGCAAGGATAGCATCAAAGTCAAGATCAAAGATAGCTACGCCAGCCCTAGACAGCTCTCCCCAGCGGGGGATCTCACTAGCCTCGGGGAACTGCTGACGCCAAGCGTCCGTCAGGCGGCCAAAGCAGCGCTGGGTGGGGTGGGCACCCCCACACTACTCACCCGCGTGGTCGCCGGAACGAAGGACGTAGGCGCACGGACCAAAACCCCCACCACGCTGACGCTGCGTGTACCAATCACAGAGCTGCTGAGGCGGGGGGATGTTGCGAGAACGCTGCTGCTTCGGCTGCTGCTGGCGCTGACCACCACCAGAGCCGCTCTGGTGCGGGGCACCACCTTGACCAGCTCCACCCCCTCCACCACCGCCGCCTCCACCTCCGCCACCACCGCCGCCTCCGCTCCCACCGCCGCCGCCGCCGCCGCCGCCTCCGCCCCCGCCGCTGCCACCACCACCACCACCCCCGCCACTACTCCTACCGCCACCCCCACTCCCTCCGCTGCCTCCACTGCCACCTCCACCGCCCCCGCCAGCTCCACCCGCACCCTTGCCCCCCTTGCCCTTGCCAGGGGGGCGTCTCCCGCTAGGGGGAGACGCCGCGCCGACCGACTCAAGACCAAGCAGGTCGGCAGCAGCAGCAGAGGCAACAGAGGGCAGCAGGGGGGAAGGAGAACACCCCTCAAAGATGGGGGTGCGAGGGTCACTACGAGAGGCTCCTACAGCGACGATGCTCTTCTCCACCGCTAGGAGGGCCTTCTCGAGGAGGTCAACAGTGAGAGTGGTGGGACAGACTGAGAGGAAGTGGTCCCTGACTACGCGAAGGGAGTTGGGGAGGCGTGTGACTATGTAATAGAGAGTGATGTACATGGGGGGGGGGGTTCTTGGCGCAGAATTCAGTAGTAAGGGCGGCGCGGTAGCGAGTGTCACTAGTGCGGAGGTGCGTAATGAGGTCAGCGACTGTAGGAAAGGCAGCAAGGTCAGGGAAGAGGTACGGTAGCATGAGGCGGCTCAGTATAGCAGTGGCAGGGGAAGAGTAGCGCGCAACTACAGCGTCGTACAAGGTATGAGCACTCTTGTACTGACTAAACTGCGCGCGCTCAGTGGTAGGAAGGTGGCGACGCACAGCAAGACGTGCAGCAGCATCGCGGGTGGCCCACTGAGAGCGAACAGTGGGGTCAGCATCAGCAGCAGGGGCAGGAGAGGCGCCAGAGGTGAGGTCAAAGAGAGAAAGGCCGTCCGCCCTATCGCACTGTAAGAACAGCTGCAGGTTGTCTATCCAGACCTCAAAGTCAATGGCTCGACCCTCAGCGTCAAACGCTAGGACGCTAGGGGTAGCCATGACGACGATAGACGAGCAGTGCAAGTAGTAGGGGAAGGGCACGCAGTGACAGAGGGGCTGTGCTCACTGGACAGGGCAGGTCGGGCGGCTCGGCTGTAGGGCGGCTCGGCGGCTCGGTGGCTCGGCTGCAGGGCGGCTCAGCGGCTGGGCGGCTCGGCGGCATTGCGGCTCAGCTGCTGGGCGGCTCGGCTGCACGGCGGCTCGGCTGGTGGGCGTCCGGGCGGCTTGGCGGCAGGGCGGCTCGGCTCCTCCGGTACGGGGCGGCGCGGCGGTCGGCTGCTCGGGTGCGCACTGCAGGAGTGTAGAGCGGCGGGGTCGCAGCAGACGGGTGGCAGGGCCCGTTGCAGTAGGGCGCGGGGCCGCAGGTGTAGGGCGGCGGGGCCGAAGCAGACGGGTGGCGGGGCCGCGACAGTAGGGCGGCGGGGCCGGCAGAGTAGGGCGGCGGGTCCCGTGAAGTAGGGCGGTGGGGCCCGTGAAGTAGGGCGGCGGGGCCGCATGTGTAGGGCGGCGGGGCCGCAGGTGTAGGGCGGCGAGGCCGCAGCAGACGGGTGGCGGGGCCCGTGAAGCAGGGCGGCGGGGCCGCAGGTGTAGGGCGGCGGGGCCGCGAAGTTGGGGCGGCGGGGCCGCGACAATTGGGCGGCGGGGCCGCAAAGTTGGGGCGGCGGGGCCGCGACAGTAGGGCGGCGGGGCCGCGAAGTGGGGCGGCGGGGCCGCGAACGTAGGGTGGCGGGGCCGCGAAGTGAGGCGGCGGGGCCGCGACCGTAGGGTGGCGGGGCCGCAAAGTGGGGCAGCGGGGCCGCAAAGTGAGGCGGCGGGGCCGCGACGTGAGGCGGCGGGGCCGCGAAGTGGGGCGGCGGGGCCGCGACCGTAGGGCGGGGCGGCGGGGCCGTTAAAACAGGGCGGCGGGGCCGCAAAGGCAGGGCGGCGGGGCCGCAAGAGCAGGGCGGCGGGGCCGCGACAGTAGGGCGGCGGGGCCGCTAGGGGAGGGAAGGCCGCTAGGGCGGCTCGTCGAGGTAAAAGCCCGAGGCGCGACTCGGGATGAGCGCGCTTCGGGCAGGAAAAAAAGATTTCCGAGGTGGTGGGCCCTAGGCAAAGTTCCCACAGGGGAACCTGCTCGATACCATGAGAAGAGTTGAGCAATGGATGAACTATGAATGAACTTAGTACAAGTACTAACCCTAATTGGGTTGTACCCCTTATGGGCTACCCCACTATGGCCTACACAATATGCAAAAGCTATATGTTCTGACAGCATATTGACGCGCCCACGCGGCATGACGATCAGTAAGAAACCCGCCAACACGAATTTTCTCTCCTTTGACCATCAACCTTACTGTGTAACGAGATCGTTCTGCAATAATACCAATAAGGTCTCTGTCAGAATGTAATTGTATACATGACTATAACTGTCTGTAGTGTAGACCTAGTGTAGTTATATTGCTTTCATGTTAGGTGGTGCACCCTTTTCTTCACTATATCTTGTACAACTTTCTATAGTGAACCCCTCATTTCTCTCGACACTTTTCTCCTTTCAACTCGATCTTCTCCTAAGCTACCATGGCCACTATGCCTAACTAGCTAGGATCTTGACAGTCTCTTATCGGTGCAATGTCAGAAAGTGAGAAATCAATATCTCCATTTGCATCAATCCTTCCATCTTCAATAATTTCAACAGTCACATTTTCTTCTGCTTCGTCAACACAACTCGATTGCACATGACGTATTCCAATACTTCGCACTGAATCAGATAAGGCATCGCTAATAAGTGTAGACACTTTCGCACTTCGTGGAGTGTCACGCTCCTCATTTAATCCGAAATCATCACTCGGAACGACCTCATGTGAGATTTCATTAAGCGTAGCTGGTGATACCAAGTTCCGTTCGAAAGAGTAGTCTCTGTCAATAGTCGCATCATGTACAGTTTGTGTACTTGATTCAACAAGAAATGAGGTGTCCCAAGTTTCGCCGTCGTCACACTCTTCGAGAAGTATGTAATGGTTGCTTGATAACCAAAGATGGATTTGATTATTATGCGTTAGAAATTTAATTCCCTCGCATTGCACCCATTCACGAGAATGGAGCCAAATCATAACAGTCATATTCATTAACTCGCAAAATGCTTTGATTTCGCAAACCGAACCCCAAGCTAAAGGATGTTGAATATAATCGATATATTCATCCGCCGATGCTAGTGGCACATCATGAGACATCGACGCCACGATTTGGTATCTAGCCCAATTTGCATGTACGTGTTGAACAATTTTGTCCTTTAGTGGACGCCAAAGATTATCGTTATTGGTTATTGCGAGTGATAAGCATGCCTTATTCTCAAAATCTTAAGCAAGGGTAGGTTTGGAAGCCATAGTGTAGGTGCCTAGGTGATCGAGTTCGAGAGGGTTAGGAAAGTATCGAGAAAGTTGAAAGAGAAGTGGTTTCACTAGCAAGAGTTGGGATACAAGTACAATGCCCTAAATTGGGTTGTACTCATTACAGAGTACCCCACTGTAGGCTAGACAGCAAATATATTCTGACACACCCCCATAGCCAAAGTGGGGTGTAATCAGCAGAGTAGGCAAAGCAGTACAAGCTCAGGGTGGATCACAATGTCACCACACATTCTGAGCACAAGTTCAAGAAGCAATAGTTAAAGTGCACAATTATCAGCAAAGCTAGTGGTAGTCACAACGGGCAAGTGAGGAGGAGGAGGGAGAGTGAGAGGAGAGGAGATAGAAGGTGGCGGCTGAAGCTGCAGACACACGGGCAACAGGAGTGGCGAGCACAGTGGCTACCGGACTAAGCGCCCGGACTACAGGAGTAACAGGCCCCGCGGCTCAAGTAGCGGCAGACGGGCAACGGACCCACAGGCGACTGGCGAAGCGACAAGCTCACTGGGCTACCGGGACAACGCCCCGGACTACAGGTGCTGCGGACGACAAACTGGCAACCTCCGCTCAAACTCCCGCACACAGTCCCACCCCCCGACACACACCCGCTGCTATACCGCTAGCTCCACTCCCACCCACCCCCCTTTAAACCCTAAACCCCAGTCTCCCACACATCCACCCCCCTCAGCGAGAGCTGTAGCAGTGGGAGACGAAGGAGGAGGAGGAGGAGGGGACGGCACGCACAACCGACACCCCCACAACTAGCACCCACACACTCACCCCCCACGGCTGCACCTGGTCCATGAGCGGCTGCTGCAGGGGCCAGGGGCGGCTGCTGCTGGTGCGGCTGCTCCAGTGGCTGCTGCTGCTGGGGCTGCTGCTGGGGCGGCTGCTGCTGCTGCTGCTCCACGCGCTGCTGCTGCTGGGGTGGCTGCTGCAGTAGCAGCGGCTCCAGGGGCTGCTGCTGGGGCGGCTGCTCCCGGGGCTGCTGCTGCTGGGGCGGCTGCTCCCGAGGCTGCTGCTGCTGGGGCGGCTCCAGGGGCTGCTGCTGCTGGGGCGGCTGCTCCCGAGGCTGCTGCTGCTGGGGCGGCTGCTCCACAAGCTGCTGCTGCTGGGGTGGCCGCTCCAGAGGCAGCTGCTGCTGGGGCGGCTGCTCCCGGGGCTGCTGCTGCTGGGGCGGCTGCTCCAGTGGCTGCTGCTGGGGCGGCTGCTCCCGGGGCTGCTGCTGCTGGGACGGCTGCTCCCGGGGCTGCTGCTGCTGGGGCGGCTCCAGGGGCTGCTGCTGCTGGGGCAGCTGCTCCCGGGGCTGCTGCTGCTGGGGCGGCTGCTCCACAAGCTGCTGCTGCTAGGGCGGCTCCAGGGGCTGCTGCTGCTGGGGCGGCTGCTCCCGGGGCTGCTGCTGCTGGGGCGGCTGCTCCACAAGCTGCTGCTGCTGGGGTGGCCGCTCCAGAGGCAGCAGCTGCTGCTGGGGCGGCTGCTCCACAAGCTGCTGCTGCTGGGGTGGCCGCTCCAGAGGCAGCAGCTGCTGGGGCGGCTGCTCCCGGGGCTGCTGCTGCTGGGGCGGCTCCAGGGGCTGCTGCTGGGGCGGCTGCTCCTGGAGCTGCTGCTGCTGCGGTGGCCGTTTCAGGGGCTGCAGCTGCTGCAGCGGAAAGTAGGACGGAGGGGAGGGGAAGGGCGCGGCCCCCATTGTGCCCTGAAGGGTGACGTGCTAGGGAGCCGCGCAGGTCCCCGAAAGTGCCTCGACGGGCGACGAGAGGGGACCGCGCGCAGGCCCCTAAGGCGCCGCGACGAGGCAACGGGAGGGGCCGGCTCGCGAGCCCCGAAAGTGCCGCGACGAGGCGACGGGAGGGACCTGCGTGCGGGCCCCCAAAACGCCGCGACGAGGCGACGGTCGGGGCCAGCGCGCGGGCTCCCAAGACGCCGCGACGAGGTAGGTACCCGCCGCGCGCTTCGGGGCGCACGGCGGGCAGAAAACCGCCACGCGCCCCGAGCGCGTGGCGGGAAGAAAAAAAGGTGGTCGTGCGCCACGGGGCGCACGACACACAATAGGGCAGCGGAATCGAGTGGGCCCACAGGCCAGGAGCGTTAAGCTCTAATACCATCTCAAAATCTTAAGCAAGGGTAGGTTTGGAAGCCATAGTGTAGGTGCCTAGGTGATCGAGTTCGAGAGGGTTAGGAAAGTATCGAGAAAGTTGAAAGAGAAGTGGTTTCACTAGCAAGAGTTGGGATACAAGTACAATGCCCTAAATTGGGTTGTACTCATTACAGAGTACCCCACTGTAGGCTAGACAGCAAATATATTCTGACACCTATCCCCACGCACAATTATTTTACGAAACATAAACCTTCTTCTTAACGCACCGTCAATTGAAGCACCCGTATAGAGTCTAGGTGCAGGAGTGCCCATCTCCAAATGCCACGAAGAGCCCCCTCAAATGCCCCGATACCAATCCAAGTTCACACGCTGAAAAACGGAGACAAATGAATCGACACAAAAACCAAAATAGATGCACAAAATATATACTGACATATTAAAATGAAAAAAGTTAGTAGAAACAATGTCTAAATATAATAATAAATAATTCTCCAAACTAATCAAGTTGCAATGAAATATTTCTGATCTATATTTTGAATGCCTAAATATAACCAATGCATGAAAATCAGACCAGCAATAATAACATAAAAAAAATCAAAACACAAAAGTACAAATGACTCATTTTTTGCAAAAAAAAAAAAAAAACATTATGGACCTTCGATGTTCTGCTTTGGTAGGATTCAAGCGCCCAGATCAAAATACTAATCTGAGCTTACGCACAAAAGGAGACAACAAAAATATAAAATTGGGTTAAACTGAGAAAAATAAGAAACCAAAAATAACACAAAAAGCAAAACAATCACAACATCTACAACATCTTGGAAGTGAGGAAAATGGATGTGGCAAAAATACAATATGTCAAAGTTCTTAGCTAGGCTTGGGAGCCATAGCTAGTTAGATCGAGTGAGTTGAGTATCGAGCAAGTTGAAAGGAGAATGAAATCGAGAGAATGAGGGTTTCACTATAGAAAGTTGTACAAGATATAGTGAAGGAAAAGGGTGCACCACCTAACATGAAAGTGGTATAACTACACTAGGTCTCCACTACAGGCAATTATAGTAATGTATACAATTACATTCTGACACACCCCCTAACTGCCTGCAGTGAAGAACCGTGTGCAGTACACCTCCTGCAGAGGTACACCAAGTGCAAAGAAAGCAGCAACAACAAACAAGGTAATAGAGCTAGTTTGTCACCCACTCCATCCCCTCACCCTCCCCCTCCCCCTCCCCCTCCCCCACACACTGCTGCAGGAGCAGCAGAGGGGGGAAGAGAGGAGAGGTGGAGGGACGGCTACTGGTTGGTCTCCCACCCGCCACCCCAGTGCCTCTCCCCCGGCTCCCCCACACCCTCACACCCTCCCCCCCAGCAGCAGCTGCAGCAGTGGGAACGAAAGGAGGAGGAGGGGAAGGGAAGCACAACACCCCCACACCCGCCACCCCCAGACCCTCCCCCTTGCAACTGCAGGGAGACAAAGGAGAAGGGGGAAGGGGGGGGGGGGGGCGACGCACGGCCTCCCCGGGCGCCAAAGCAGGCGGCAGAGGGGGCGACGCCTGCCCACGCCTTCCAGGTCGCGGCCCCTGAAGGAGCCGTGACGGGTGACGGGAAAAGGGGGGGGGGGGGGGGGGGGGGGTGGGGGGGGGCGGTGCATGTGCCCCCGGTGTGACGCGGCTGGCGACGGGGCATGGCCGGGGCGGGGTCGGGGCCGCAAGTGGGCGGGGCCGTAGGTGGCATCGGGGCTGAAGTGGCAGACGAGGCCGCAAGTGGCGACGGGGCCGTAGGTAGGCGACAAGGCCGGGGCCGCAGGTAGGCGACAGGGGCCAGAGGCCGCAGGTAGGCGACGGGGCCGGGGCCGGAAGTAGGCGACGAGGCCGTAGGTAGGCAGGTAGGCGACGGGGCCGTAGGGCCGCAGGTAGGAGACGCGGCCGGGGCCGCAGGAAGGCGACGGGGCCGGGGCCGCAGGTAGGCGACGGGGCTGTAGGGCCGCAGGTAGGCGACGGGGCCGTAGGGCCGCAGGTAGGCGACGGGGCCGTAGGGCCGCAGGTAGGCGACGGGGCTGTAGGGTCGTAGGTAGGCGACGGGGCCGCAGGGTCGCAGGTAGGCGACGGGGCCGTAGGGCCGCAAGTAGGCGACGGGGCCGGGGCCGCAGGTAAGCGACGAGGCCGTAGGGCCGTAGGTAGGCGACGGGGCCGTAGGGCCAGGGGCACGTCACGGGGCGTGCCGAACACAGATTAGCAGCGGAAGCTTTAGGGTGGGCCCACAGGTCAGGACCTTGGTCACCCTGATAACATGTCAAAGTTCTTAGCTAGGCTTGGGAGCCATAGCTAGTTAGATGGAGTGAGTATCGAGCAAGTTGAAAGGAGAATGAAATCGAGAGAATGAGGGTTTCACTATAGAAAGTTGTACAAGGTATAGTGAAGGAAAAGGGTGCACCACCTAACATGAAAGTGATATAACTACACTAGGTCTACACTACAGGCAGTTATAGTAATGTATAAAATTACATTCTGACACAATGATATCACTATTAAGTGTGAAACATATTGACAATAACACACAAACATATATTTACCTACCAGAAAAAAAGTACTAACTACACCACCAAAGAACTTTCTCAAAATGAGTACTCCATGAAATCACTATACATTGTACATAAAAAACCATTGTAAATACCTTTATAACTTATAGCCAACACTTCACCAGACTCTCAATTTCAGAAGGGATGCTGTTGAATCTTGATGATGTTGTTGTAAGACAGTACACAGAGCGTATCATGTATGCATCAAAGGTTAGAAACGCTGCATTCAAATCAGAAGTAGGAGCAATCATTAAAATAGTGAAATATTGGTTGTGGCACAAAAATCATTTAATAGAATTTACAAAAAATACATTGGTAAATATAAGCAAACATCATATTACAACCTTGGTATGCTGAACAATCTGGCGCAATTTCAATGCTGATAGTATGAATCCGTTCTTGTTTTCCCTCCTGATATAAATAACAGAATGAAGAACAACATCACTGTCCATAAGACCTAGAAGATTGTAAGACAAAATAAAAATGAAAAAACGTTTGAAAAAAACATTAACAAGCTAGCAATTTCACTATATTACCACAAAAACTTCAAATGCAGACTTTGAGCTCGGTATAGCCTGAAGTAAAGATGCTGATGTAAACCAATTGTTGATGCCTGATAAGATGCACGTCCAAGAATAACAAAAACCTTGATAGTTAGTGTAGTGTTACATTGTTGGTGGTGCACCTTGCTAGCTTTGTTAGCTATATGTGCTCTTGAGCCTATAGTGAACACATCTTTTCTCCTTCACAATTCTCTCGACTTCCTCCTGGCCTAGGCTACTAAGCCTAGGCCCTACTTAAAACTCATCTACCACTTATGCTCGTATCTTAAAATTGACGACACACCGTCGGTTTGAACGAACGGCACTATGGCAGCCACTATAGTCTTAGAAGACACAATAGGAAGAGTTAGCGAAAGTTACGAGTTGGAAATGACTCCCAGCTCCTAGAAACCCCAAGAGCCGAGGTACAGTGATGTGGAATAGTGCCACACTGTCCCCAACCACGAAGGGTCTCGAAACTACCCTTCACTAGGGCCTACACCAAGTAAAATGTTACACTACACAAAGTAATGTAACTATCTTCAATATCTTGAGGTGCACCCTTTTGGCGAGCTTCGAAATCACTTGAGGCTTGACACCAAGGCTCGGGCTCTTCATCACAAACTCATCCTTGAGTTCTTGATGAGTCTTCTGCACACACTTGCGACATGCCGAATGTTCGACACAGGACAAAATAGAAACGGCGCGCGAGACACAAACGACCGCGTAACACGCGTCTAGCGATATCTCGCTATTGATTCGACACACACACTCGACATCATGACTCAACATTCACACACAAATATAAGCATGAAATATATATTATCCCATGCCCTCATACCATTCCATACACACACACATGCACGCACACAGACAACAAGCCTAGTGCAAACCGTAGGGTTGCACCAACAGGAGCGCGAAGCCCCTGAGTCAAGTGTGAAGGTGAGGGAGGCCGAAGCCGACGCGGTACCTGAGAGCGCAGCCTCACCAGTACCTGAGGGCGCAGACGTGCTGGCACCTAGAGCAGCAGCCTCACTAGCACCTAGCGCAGCAGCACCAATGCACGGGCCGGGCGGGAAACACCAGTAACAGTCACCCTCATCACTAATAGTCACAGCATACATGGCTGCAAGGATAACATCAAAGTCAAGATCATAGATAGCAACACCTGCCCTAGACAGCTCTCCCCAGCGGGGGATCTCACTAGCCTCCGGGAACTGCTGACGTCAAGCGTCCGTCAGGCGGCCAAAGTTGCACTAGGTGGGGTGGGCACCCCCACACAGCTCACCCGCGCGGTCGGCGGAGCGAAGGAGATAGGTGCACGGACCGAAACCCCCACCACGCTGACGCTGCGTGTACCACTCACGGAGCTGCTGAGGAGGGGGGATGTCCCGAGAACATTGCTGTTGCTGCTGCTGCTGCTGCTGCTGCTGGCGCTGACCACCACCGGAGCCGCTCCGCTGCGAAGCACAACCCCGACCAGCTCCACCTCCTCCACCACCCCCGCTAGCTCCATCCGCGCCCTTGGCCCCCTTACCCTTGCCAGAGCGGCGTCTCTCGCTAGGGGCAGACGCCGCACCGACCGACTCAAGACCAACGAGGTCGGCCGCAGCAGTAGAGGCGACAGAGGGCAACAGGGGGGAGGAGAACACCCCTCAAAGATGGGGGTGCGAGGGTCACCTCGAGAGGCTCCTACAGCGACGATGCTCTTCACCGCTGCTAGGAGGGCCTTCTCTAGGAGGTCAACAGTGAGAGTGGTGGGACAGACTGAGAGGAAGTGGTCCCTGACTACGCGAAGGGAGTCAGGGAGGCGGGTGACTATATAATAGAGAGTGATGTACATTGGGGGGGGGGGGGGTTCTTGGCGCAAAACTCAGCAGGAAGCGCGGCGCGGTAGCGAGTGTCACTAGTGCGGAGGTGCGTAATGAGGTCAGCGATTGTGGGAAAGGCAGCAAGGTTAGGGAAGAGGTATGGTAGCATGAGGCGGCTCAGTGCAGCAGTGGCAGGGGAAGAGTAGCGCGCAACTACAGTGTCGTACAAGGTCTGAGCACTCTTGTACTGACTAAAGTGCGCGCGCTCAGTGGTAGGCAGGTGGCGACGCACAGCAAGACGTGTAGCAGCATCGCGGGTGGCCCACAGGGAGCGAACAGTGGGGTCAGCATCAGCAGCAGAGGCAGGAGAGGCGCCAGAGG